GCTACATGCTAAAAGACATGGTTGGTTCCTAACAACAAAAGAAGCACACCAGTGTTCCTGAAAGTCTAAAAATCTAGACTGAATCATTCAAGTGAATGTTAAATTGCTCACCTCAAAACTTTCTGGCTTTTAAGGAGTTGAAAAGACATCACAGCTACCGAGGGACTTTAGTGGGGCTGAAACATGAACAGGATCTATGGATTGTGTCACCAGTGCCCAATTGGTCCACTAACACTTGAAGCTAAGAACATTGCAAGATGACATCTGACCTGCAGAAGTCCTCTCTGCGGCAGTCCACTTACCCCATGCCTCCATCAATGTACTGGGTAAACGCACTGATTTATATGACTTTCTTTTGTTCTGTGACTATGAAAGCTTATGTACCTGGGCCATGGTGGAGCAATTATTCAGGGTAACCTGAATCCATGATCCAGAGCCGTGCCCATTCATATTTGACTCAGAATAATCTCTTTTTTCCTTTGGAGCAACAGCTGTGTTCTGTGTTGATACGATGTAAAAGGACGTCCTTGATTTTAGGAAACACATACTGAAATATTTAGGACAGAGGAAACCATGTCTACAAGTTACTATTAAAGAGTTCAGAAATAATATGAATATGGATATGGGGACAAGGCGGTGGGAGAGAGGTGAAGAGACAGAGACAGACAGCAAGAGATAGGGAGTCACAGAAAGGGAGGGAGGGAAAGGACAGGTTGAAAATTTTAACATTTAGGGGAAATTTGGATTAAGAACATGGTTTTTGGTAATTGTAATTTTTATTTTTTGTAAATTATTATTTCTGCAATTATTTCAAAATGAAAATGTAAAAAAAATAATGGCCTTATCAGAGAGCCACAGAATCAAAAACTCTGGGAATCTGCATTTTAGCAAAGTATTTCCAAGGTGAATCTTCAATATGCTCTGAAATTTGAAAATTTCTGGCATTAACAAACCACACAGCAGAAGAGTCAAAGTACTGAGCTGTGAGGCCTTCCAAAATAATTTGTAGATGAAATCCCAACCAAAAAGCAATCCCAATCAAATCCCAGTAGGAATTTTCTTTTTCTTGTTGGGACTGGAGTTTGAAATCAAGGCTTCATGCTTGCAAAGCAGGAGCTCTACCACTTGAGCCACACCTCCAGTCCATTTTGCTCTGGTTATTTCAGAGATGGGATCTCTAAGCTGGCATTGAACCGTGTTCCTCCTGATCTCAGCCTCCCAAGTACATAAACCACAGGCACACAGCAAGCATTGTTTCTGTGTTTTTAATTGAGGAGATGATCCCAGAATGCATATGGAAATGCTAAGGAACTATGCTAATCCATCCAATTCTGGAGGGAAAACAAAGTTTGAGGACTAATAGTATCTGATTTCAGAAATTATGAAGCTACAGTAATCAAAGCAGCGTGCAACTCCATCAAGATAAATAAATAGATCAATGGTACAGGAAAAAAATCTCCAAACACAAACATACACACATATGAACAGCTGCTACTTGACAAGGGAGCTAGGACAATGCAGTGGAGAATGCATCCATTTTTATTTTTTTTAACAAATGGAGTTGGAACAACTGGATTGTATGCATGCCAAAAAGTGAACTTTTACCTTGTATCACATGTAAAAATTAATCCACAATAGCTCATATGTAAAACCTAACACCTCGAAAGTTATAGAAAACGTATTCATGACTTGGATTATGAAATCTATTTCAAAATTGATAAATTGGACTTCATTAAAATCTGCTCTTCAAAAGACAATGTTAAGAGTTGAAAAGATAACCTACAGACTGAAAGATCTACGCAAAGCATACACCTGATACAGAACTTCCATCTAGAATACACAAAGAGTTCTCAAAACTCAGCAGCAGTAATACAGGCCATCCAATCAAAAATGAGCAACAGATGTAAGCATGTGAGATCTAATAACGACATCATTAGTCAGTGGGGAAATGCAAACCAAAGCCACAATGAGATACCACTACCTACCTATTAAAATTTCCAAAATAGTGGACTGGAGGCATGGCTCAAGTGGTACAGCACCTGCCCAGCGAGCGTAAACCGGAGTTCAAACCCCAGTACTGCAAAAAAGCAGCTAAAATTTCCCAAATAAAAACCAGCTACACCAAATGATGGCAAAGATATGGGGGAATGACAAAGTGGGGAGCTAAAATGGTACAACCTCTTTGGAAGAAAGTTTACTAATTTCTTAGAAAGTTAAACCTACACCTGCCATATGGCCTAGCCATTCTGTTCTTAGATTTATTCAGGAATAAAGAAAGTATATTTTGGGACTGGTAGAGTGGCTCAGGTGGTAGAGTGCCTGCCTAGAAAGCAAGAGACCCTCAGTTCAAACCTCAGTACCACCAAAAAAGACCTAAAAGAAAATATATTTTCATAGAGACAACTGTAAATAAAAGTTCACAGCAGTACTATTCATGATACCTACAACCTAAATATATATCCACAGATGACTGGACAAACTGTAAGATAGTCTTTCAATAAAACACTACTTAGAAACACAAAGCACAATAAAAAGCTCGGCTCGGTGGTGCTCACCAGTCATCCCAGCCACAAGACAAGTGTAAATAGGAGGGAGAATCAAGGTCCAAGCCTTGAAAAAATAACAAAAAGGGCTGGGGGCGTGGCTTAATTGGGAGAGTGCCTGCCTGGCAAGCTGAAAGCCCTGAGTTCAAACTCTAATACTGAAAAAAATATACATAGATCCATATGTATAGATCTATCTATCGATGTGTGTGTGTGTGTGTGTATGTATTTAGGATTAAAATATCATAATGTGGCTGGAGGTATAACTCTGGAGACTTCTTGCCTGACATGCATGAGGTCCTGGGTTCCATCTCCAGCACAATTAATTAATTAATCGTGATCTTTTAAAAAAGATTTTTGTAAAATAATAGATAAAAGAAATGGGGAAAATTATTAAATAATTAGAAATTGAGGTAAAGGATATATGGGAATTCATATTCTTCTGCACGTTTTACATTTTCTGTAATACAATTACCAAAACCTATGATAATACAAAATATATTCCTAATAAGACAAATATCAGATGCATGAAATAAGAACATTTAAGCACATTGTCTGCAGTCACTGTAGCTCCATTCAAATTAGGCATGACTTACTCATGGAGCACCTGTCACACCCTAGCACTAGTCCACTCACAGGTGGCTCAACGTCCACTGCAGCCGTGCAGTCTTGTGCAATGGATTTCACCTTCTGGTTTCCTCATTGTAACAGGAGGAAAGGAGGAGTCCTTCCCTCACAGGGTTGCGAAGAAGAAGAACTCCTCAAACTCAGAGGGTGGACAGCAAGTGGTCCCCTGGCCCAGGTACCTGCTGGATGCTCCCTCGCTGAGCATGCAGAGACGATGGTCATACCGACCTTTCTCAAATAACTACAGACACACACAAATGCAATCAGTGATAATTGCCCCTAGAAAGAAAAGGATAGTGGGCTCTCAGAATTCCACTGTGATCGGTTAGGAAGTCAGGCCATTAAAGCAGTTGTATAGTGGTGGAAGCAGGGACTTCAGGCAGAATAGGAAGGGGCTTCAACTCTTCCACCTACTGGCTGTGTGACCCTGACCAACTTGACCTTGGTTCCCTCAGCTGTACAACCAGTGCTTGAGTAGTTAGTCCTTACTTACCTCACAGGGTTGCCGTGAGGATGGCATGGTTAATACTTGGAGGTGCTTAGAACAGCACCTGGCACATACTAAGTCCTGGTTAAGGTTGTCTGTTATTATCTTACTGGTCCACAGCAAAATGGAATGTAATGTTACCAGTCCCACCTCAGTTTGGCTTCTGAGGACCTAAAGAGTAATGTTGTGAATTACCTTTCATAGCCCTGGCAACACACCAGAGTCACCTGGACAGTACTTTTTTAAAAAGTCCTGATGCACTAGAGTCACCTGGACAACACTTTTTTAAAAAGTCCTGATGCAAGGGCTCCATTCTGAAACAAATGAGTTAGAAATTCTAGGGTCAGAGCCTGGACATCTGTATTTTTCAGAAGCTCCTTCAGAGGTTCTCAATGCACTCATCCAGACATTCAAAACGTAAAAACCATTTCCAACACGTTCCAACAGTGTCATGCATTTGTTATTATTACAGCTCCAACAGTGTGCACACAAATGACTGTTGCTTTCAGAAGAGTTTAAATTCTTGTGAGTGTGGCTCAAGTGGTGGAGCCAAGCACAAAGCCCGGGGTTCAATTCCCAACACACACAAAGTTTAAATTCCCATAGAATGGGAACCCAATAATTCTCCTCCACCCCACCCACTTTTGCTCCAGGAGCACAAAAAACACGAGGGAAGAAGGCGCTCGGGTAAGCCTGTCTGTGCGGTCTAGGAATGAGTGACTCCTGCGCTTAACTGTAAACATGGCTTAACTGGGGAATCGGATGTCACTCACTCCTGGGTCGAATGACAGAAGTCACTCGATGCGCGGCGCGGTCTCTGCAGAAAGACACTTTCTACATCCTGGAGCGCGTAAACACGGAAAAGTCAACGCAGCTCTTAGTGGAGAGGGTGGAGAGACAAAAAGGGATCAGGTTTTAAATACCTATGCATGACTTTAACATTTACGTCAACAGTTCAAGAAACGAGTTTACCAACTTGTGAGGGGCTGAAGTGCAAAGGTCTATAGCCCGACTGGGCTGTGGTTACGTTCGGGCGAATACAGTTGCCTAAATTCACCAAGCTGTGCATTTATAACCGGTGTGTTTTATTGAAGTGAAAGCTACGCCTCACTTGAAAAAAAAAAAAAAAGAAAGAAAATAGCGCAAGAGAAAACAAAGTTGGCAAACAGTTACGCAGTCCTCGTGGGGAAAGCAACCAAAGAGTCCCACGTTAGTCCCAACGCCCTCTTTGACCTGCCTTCGGGCTGACAGCGGAACTCAAGTGGAAGGCTCTAAGGGCGCCCTCGCACGGGAGCGAGGAGACCCAGCCTGGTGTTCCGCGGCCCGGGGCGCGGGGTCCTTACCCAGGAACAAGAAGGACAGGACCCACTGCAGCACCGCCGCCGTCTGCAGCCGCCGCGACAGCGGGATGTTGAGCGGGGCGAACTCCACCTTCATGATCCTACTCCCTCGAGGACGGGGACAACCGCAGATCGGGGCCCGCCAGCCCCACGCAAAGGAGGAGACGGTGACCCAGAGCGGGCGGGGACAGAACTTCGCCTCGGGTGGGAGGGTGCGCCCCCGCGGAGGCTGGGGGCTGCCAATCCCGTGCGCCCGCCGGCGCTGACGCCTGGGAGCAGCTGCCGCGCCCTGGGCGCATTGGTTGGCGCGCCCTGGCGTCGGCTAGAGCGTGCGAGTAGGGATCAAGGGAACACAACTGGGGGCAGCTGGCCGCGGACTCCTGTGGTCTTGCTGAGGACCTGGGATCTCCACCAGGAGCTGACCATTGTTCAGCTGATCGATCACCGTGCTCGGGGCTTCAGCATCCGCTCTTAAACCCACCCCTTCCTCCGAGCCCTCTACGACTGGGGAAAGGTTAGATGAAGGAATCGTGCGGCAGCTGGAGGAAGGAGTGTGACTTGAGTTTATTAGTTGTGTCCCTACACCGACCCCAAACTCCGGGGGTGTGGTGGGGAGTGGATAGGGCTGCTGTCTCACTTTTGTGCCCTCTGTTCCCTACACGAGTCCTGGACACTTTCATTTATTCATTTGTGCAATCCACATGTATTGAGAACCTACCATGGGCCCGGCTCCATTCTGGCTGTTGGCAATACACCGAGTAACTAAGTCACCTATTGTCAAGTACAACTCGTGGGGAAAGGGACAGATTTGAACAGATCTAAGCAAAATGAATATTCAACCGAATGTATAATTACAAGTATCGTCACCTACTGTGGGTGACTAGAAGATTCTAGGACCTAGACTGGAGGGTCAGGGAAGTGTCTGAAGAAATTTCTTTTATTTGAGGCTTAAGGTAGTTAACCAGGTAAAAGGGCAAAAAGAAGCATGAGTTCAAAGGTCCTCCAAAGGGGGAGTTGTTTGTGACATCTGTGTGCAAAACTAGTTTTTTTGCTTTTTTTTTCTTTCCTGATTGAGGAGTCACTTTCTTCCTCCCTTTTAGATATCATCTCTGAACCTTCCCCCAGTGCTAGATGGGGATCCTATGAATACACACTTTGTAGGACACTGTGCAGAGTCCTTTTCAAGCAGGATCTCATTCTATAGCAACTACAAAGTAAGCATTTGCTCCAGTTTTGCAACTAAGGAAATTGGTGCTCAAAAGGCAAACACAGGGTAAGCAGCAGAGTAGAGAAGATTCAGATGTTTTCTCTAAAACCTAGAAGGATGAGTCATCACTTCGTTCACTGAGTCTAACATGGAACAAACATTAATTGGGTATCAGCTTACATTGGGCATTGTCCTTGGTACTGATGACATAAAAGTGAATTAAGACATGGTCTTTGTGCCTTTGAGAATTCCCACCCATTCATTCATTGACCATTTGTGGAAAGAATTCTATGTATTCTGCACTGAGTATGGAGTGGGGATGGCCTATATCGGTATATAAGAAAGGTCTCTGTTCTGCAGCTCCCAGACTAGTGGGAGAAACAGGAAATAAGTACATATGTACGCAAATGTGTAATACGGCCTTGAACAAAGCATGTAGGCTCCAGGATGTGGAATAATGGGCATCTATTCAGACCAGGTTGGAAGTAACAGTAGTGGAGAAAGGGAGACCCCTCTGGAGGCTATTGTGGGATGAATGTTGAGGCTGATGGCCTGGCCCACTGTGGAAGCCAGTGAGAATAAAGATGGATTTGTTACGTCCATGGGAGATGTAAATGTTAGGACTGGTTAGTTGGGTTCATAATGGGTTGGTAAATAAGGAGAGCAAAACAGCCAGAACTCCTGGTCCTAATCAGGAGTATACTTTAGTAATGCTTTTGTCACTTGCCCAGAGTACTCAGCTGGTAAAAAGAACCAGTCATACCTCATCACAGCCATTGTAGCCAAGCATGGACCGATCGGAGCCCAATCGGTACAGCAATCCATTATCATGTTAACCAACGATGAAATCACTCACTTACTGTTTTAACACTCACCACGTTTGTTACATACTGGGTGATGGGTTACATGAGTTAAATGATAAGGAAGTGTCAGCTCTGCAAGCTACTCAATATAATTCTGCTGAGTCGCCCTGAAATCTAGAATTAAAATTAACAGGAAAACAGTAACCTTAGACATTATCTCTCCAAACTACACATTTCATAGAATAGGGAACTGAGAGCACAGAAGATGAGTGATTTGCCCAAAATAACTTGGCCAATTATTGGCAAGGTTTAACCCTAGGTCTCTGTATAGCCATACAACCAATTCTTGTCATTAAGAGCTGAAACAAGACTCACGTGGTAGAGTGCTTGCTTAGCAATCAAGAGGCCCAGAGTACCATGGGAAAAAATGGGGGGGAGGCTAAAACAGATGTGGAAAAACAATGTGACGTGAGACCATGATTGATTTCAAACTTTTTTTCCAGAAGAATATTTTTTCATTGTCAAAAACCTTCAGTTTATAAAACAAATCACCGCAAAGCAGCTGTGATCAAAATGCATGAGAAAGCCTGATTCCACCTAATCCACATCTTCCTCTATCTCAAAGTGACTACATTCTCAGCAAAGTAAAATCAACATCGAACAGACATAGATAATTATAAAGTCTCTGAGTTCGCCAAAATTCCTGTTTATTTTGCCCTTTCTTTGGTTTTGGTCTTGTTTTAGTGGGCAGCCCAATATTTGGAGAAACACAGTTTGAGTAAGGGTTGCAGTGAGAGTCTACATGCACCAACATAATTGAGTGCTTATCTCCTCCCAGGCCCTGTGTTCCAGGCTTCATATGCCATGTCGGATTGAAACCCCAGAAGAACTCTCCAGGGTAGATACTGTTATTCCTCTCATCAAGGAAGAAACTGAGTCTAAAGGTCAAACAAATTAGTCACATAATAAGTAGTAGAACCAGGTTTCTATTTTGGGGAAATAGGTTTGTCTGTGATTAGAGACTAAGCAAGTAGTTGCCATAATAAGGCATTTCTCAAATAACATAAGGAAGAAAGGGGATGTTCACTGAACGATGGGTAGAAGAGCAATGAAGACTAAACTTGTCAGTGTGTATTGGGATTGTTCATTCAGTCAACATTTTAGCAAATGATCAAAGAAAAGTACATGTGGCATAAGGGTAGGCTTTGTTCCTACGTGCTTGGCATTGGCTAGATATGAGTGAGTAATATGTACGTATGTTTATCGTAAGTCAACATAAATACATCAAGCACCACTGCTGTAAGTCCTGGAGAGGGTGTGGTGATAGCGAACCACACAGTTCTGCTTGAAGATTCTGAGATTCTACCCACCAAGAACAGTTCCTCTTTCTACTTCTCAACTCTTTATTAAGGAATAAGAAGGGTGGGGGGAGGGGAGAAAGGAGAACAGAAGAGGGGGTGAATTCAAGTATGATATATTTGATATATTGCAAGAACTTTGGTAAATGTACCCCCACCCAGCACAACAATAAAAAAAATAAAACAAACAAGCAAAAAAGGAATAAGAAGGTAACACTTCAAATTGCCTCATAGATTATGAAAGTCTACTCTTGGAAATAAGTAAATAAAATCACTTCCTTATTTTATTTTTTCCTGGGCATTTTACCACAGCTAACTTCTACTAGCAGGAAGGTGACTTAATATTTTTTTAAAACATAACATTTTATTGTAACTTAAGCTGAAATGTTCCCATTGTTAAGTTAAAAAAGTATTCATTCTAGATTGAGACTCCTTTGAAGGGACAGTTTAGGATAAAAGTCACAGTTTTGCTTTTCATAAAATTCATTGATCATGAAATATTCCTTTTCATTCATAATAGAGACAGAGACAGAGAGAGCAAGAGAGCGCGTGTCTAGTTGCCATGGTTACCATAAATCATTGCGAAGGACCTGCTCTCATTAAAACAAAAGGACATCACTATGGTACTTTCCATGGACCGTCCTTCACTGACTTCAAGGCTCTTTTTTTGAACAAAGTTCAAGAAATCTGCTCTGGTCTCTCTGTTTTCTTATTGTCTTCTCAATGAAGTATTTTATCAATCTGACAGGGCTTGGGTGTGTTTGTTCTGAGTAGACATGCAGAAATGTTGCTTGAGATAGTGAGGCTTTGTAGCCACCATGATCATGGCCCAAAGTTTCCTTCTCTCCATATTTTCCCGTTGCTATAAGTCCTCGAGAGGTCTCAGATCCTGTACATCATTGCTGCTTCTCTTCCTCGCACATGCTCTTCTGAAAACTACATAAACCTAGCTTTAATTATTATCTATTAGTTCATTAATGCTAATATATGATGTTTGTTCTACAAAATGCATGCTTTCCTAACTGCTTTTTTGAATTATGTATTGTAACACTATGAGTGTTATTATTATGGTACAATTGTTCTCTTCCAATGATCCCATTTTCATGTGCATTTGGTCTGGGAACTTACTTAGGAGCCACCAAACCAATCAAGATAGGAACAAAAAAGAAAGTACCAGACTTGGGTATAGGGGCAGGCTTTTTTTTTTTTTTTGCAGTGCTGGGGTTTGAATTCGAGACCTATACCTCAGCCACTTCACCAACCCTTTTTTATGAAGGTTGTTTTTTCAAGATAGGGTTTTTCGAACTGTTTGCTCAGGCTGGCTTTGAACCTCAATCCTCCTGATCTCTGCCTCCTGTATAGCTAGGATTACAGAAGTGAATCACTGGCACCCAGCAAGGGCTCTTAAAAGAGGCAGTCAACACCTCAAACAGCAGTATCCTCAACGGTGTATCAGAGCAGCCACCATCATTTAGTTCCAGCTTTTTCTTTTCTTTTTTCAAACATTTTTTCACATGTATATATATATATTTTTTTTCCTAGTTCCAGCTTCTAAAGAAACCCATGCTGTGGTTGGAATATTTACATCCTCTCAAAATTCACAAATAGAAATCATAACCACCAAGATCATGGTATTAGGAACTGGAGTCTCAGCTAGGCACCTATGGGTCATGCCTGTAATCTTAGCTACTCAGGAGGCACAGATTAGGAGGACCATAGTTCAAAGCCAGCCCGGGCAAATAGTTCGCAAGACCTTATCTCAAAAAGTACCCAACCGAAAAAGTGCTGGCAGAGTGGCTCAAGTCGTAGAGTTCCTTTCTAGGAAGCACAAGACCCTGAGTTCAAATCCAAGCACTACCACCCCCCCCCCAAAAAAAGAGTTGGAGTTTCTGGGAGTTGATTAGATCATCAG